GGAGGGAGGGAGGGAGGGAGGGGGCATCATTAACTCTGTGTGTGCCATAGCTTTGCCCTGGTAGCCAAGACATGTAATCTTGTATGCATAAGCATTACAAGAATTCCAAAAAAGTGTTACAGCTTAATATGGCTAGCACTTGTGTATCATTGCTGTCCTTTGGTTATCTTCAGTTGTGTCTAACACCAAAGTCCCAGAAAAGTGAAATTGTTCGTGTTGTCGTCATTGTTTAATCCCGTTCTTAAAATGGAAAGGCGAGTTTATGTCCTAAAACTGTGTGTACGTGAAACGTTCAGCCATGTGCAGCAGCTTTTGCTTCTCCAATAAGTTTTTTTTGATCTAAAAACAGAAGAAACCACATCGTACTTTGACTATGAGAAATATATAGTAATACTTAAAACTGATGGTGAGTATAACTGGACTATTAAGATCTTTTCAAGTTAACCGTAAGATTTCAGTGTCTGCCATGTTGACCAGGTGGGATTGACTTAGTGGGAATTTAGTCACCTGTTGGTTTTAAAGGCAATGATATAAAAGTGCTGTCTTTAGCCATTTATTAACGAAAGGATGTATCTAGAGGAATAATGCCAGTAGGAACAAAGACTATAACATTTGTTGCTTTTAGTGACTTGTTACTTTAAAAAAAAAAAAAATGTTGGAGGAAAACGTTCTTTGTTTTGTTTTAGCAAAGAATAAATATGAATATAAGCAATTTGCTTTTTAAAAATAATTTGACTGGAACATTTCAGTGGGTATTAAAAATGTTTTGTGTAGATGCTGGTTTATAAAGTCATTACTTACACAGGAACATGCCTTTTGTTGGCTGAATGGAAAGGGATACAGGCTTTTTTTGGTTCTTCTTGAGCACGTGGTCTATCAGGTTGTGGTTTCTCAATGATTTCCATAAGCCTTAATTCTTGTGTTTAGGACAGAATTAATTTAGCAGTTTAATTACTGTGTCACATAAGATTTACAGCTGGGTTTGTTTGGCTTTTTTAATCTTTATCTCCACAACACAATGGAAAATTTATATTTCTAGCACCTAAATGGAAAAAAAAAACCCAACATTCTACTTCTAAAAAAATATATATTTTTGGAAGGCTAAGTAGTCAAATTTAAAAGGAAAGAATTAAACTTTTGCTAACAAAGGAACATCAAATATAGTGGCATCTAGAAAAGTGAAGCTGTTTTCAATAGAGTAATTATAAAATTTCAATTTATTTTAGCACTACTGCGTAGGAAACTCATGTTAGATAATTTAACAAAGTGAGGAAAAACCCCACACAATTATCCTGAAGAGAAAATGAACTTTCTGTGAAAGGAAAAAATGCAAAGAATTTCCTTTTATTTAGGGTGATAAAGAGTTAAAATCCTGTTCACAAAGCAAATCCAGAAAGAACTTTGGTTGTGGAAGAAGCAGTGGGAGTCCCTTTTTCCTTTTAAGCAGTTGGGAATAGGCAGGTTTGGTTTATTGTTGTGGTTTTTTGGGTTTTTTTAACTTGATGGTTGTATACCCACCAATGGTATATGCACAAACCCATAAATATAAGTCAAATAATAACAAACACAAATAAATAAAAGGGGATTGTGTCTTTCAGTACATAATGGAGTAATAGTTTTCTAAATGGGAAATGTAGGGCTTTCACAGTGGAGAACATGCTGATTACTGTATTGTGAGTGGCTGGCTTTTGATTTTCCTAGATGGATTAATTCTCCGAACACAACAGCTTCCCTGTCCTCCCCCAGTGGAGTCCCAGTCTCCAATAGACTTGTTTTATATCCCAGGGGATTAATACAGCACAGCAATCAGTCATAAAAAGCCAGCTTTATTGAGTTTGTAAAGGGGCAGAACAGTCAGATCAAGTCTTGTGACCATCTTATTGCTTTCGAGTGCTTTCAAACAATAGTGATCAGATCTTTTTTTTTTTTTTTTTTTTAAAAAAAAAAAAGTATGTTTTATTAAAAGGGAATAGGGAGTTGGTTTTTGATCATCAGGGGATAGATTTTTAAAGAGCTATCTTGCAAATTGGGAGAAATGAGCTTAAATGTTTGCAAAGATCTGAATTTTTACCGCTTCTGGTAGTTTAGGTTTGTTTTGCTTAAAGGGCTTGTCAAATACATTTTTGAAATGCAACCAACAACAAATAAAATCCCAGGCGGTTAATGCCATTGTCACAATCTTTATATAGCAGTCGATTTTATATTTTGAGGTTGGTGCATTTGAATAGTGAGACTCAAATTAAACCCCCCACCTTGATTTGCAAATGAAGAAGCAATAAAAATGTAAAAATGACTTTCAAATCTTCCTTTCTACCTCCCCTTACGTACAGCATTGTTTGGTTTACGTTGACTTAGAATTTGCTTTTTTGCAGAACTTGTGTTAGACTTCGCGTTAAATAGGGGGGGGAGGGGGAGAGGCTGGGAAATTTACGGTGTAATTAATGCTTGTAATGCAGAAGAACGTGTTTTCCCTTGCCTTTCGCTTCTTTCTGAAAATTCCTAAGGCTTCCCGGTGGGATGGACACCCCCGGGTGGCGGCGGGCGGAGGGAAGTGGCGGGGGCTGGTCTCGAACCCGCGGCTCGGCGGCAGAGCCCGGCGGCGGTGGAGGAGTCCCCTGGGTGCTGTCCAAGGTCCTGATGGAAGCGCCCCGCGCTCTGCCAACCCCCCGCTGGCCTCCGCCTGGAAAAGACAGTTCCTGGGTTTGTTGCCACCCTTTTCCTCCTTTCCCCTAGAGTTTCTCCTCAGTCTGTTGAGGTCCCGGCCGGGTAACGGTGTCCTGCTGGTTTAAAGTGTCCTTGAAGACAAATCATAGGATTTGAACATTAGGAAGGAATTCTTCACAGAGAGAGTGGTCGGGCATTGGAACAGGCTGCCCAGGGAGGGGGTGGAGTCACCATCCCTGGGTGTGTTTAAGGGCCGTTTAGATGCAGTGCTGAGGGACATGGTGTAGGGGAGGACTTTGTAGAGTAGGGGAGATGGTTGGACTCGATGATCCCAAGGGTCTCTTCCAACCTCAATGATTCTATGATTCTATGATTGTCGAGGTTGGAAGGGACCTTTAAGATCGTCGAGTCCAACCTTCGTTGCTGCCAAAACCACCACCGAACCATGTCCCTGAGCATCACATCTACCCATCTTCTAAGTATCTCCAGGGGTGGTGATTCCACCGCTCTCCTGGGCATCCTGTTCCAATGTTTGATAAGCCGGTCAGTGAAGAAAATAATTCTTCCTGTGTTACATGTGGAAGATATTTAGGTCTTTGTTGTTTATGGGCAAACCTGTTATCAGTGTCTCTATTTAGGGTTAGACAGTGCTTTCCATGTTGAGATCTGGTTCCAGTTGCTTGCAGCTTGGCCAAATCATAACCATTCCAGTGGAAGTTTTCCATGCTGCTTTAGGCTTAATTGGTTTCTTTACAGAAACTTTCTCACACAGTCATTTCTTGGTGATTCCACCGCTCTCCTGGGCATCCTGTTCCAATGTTTGATAAGCCGGTCAGTGAAGAAAATAATTCTTCCTGTGTTACATGTGGAAGATATTTAGGTCTTTGTTGTTTATGGGCAAACCTGTTATCAGTGTCTCTATTTAGGGTTAGACAGTGCTTTCCATGTTGAGATCTGGTTCCAGTTGCTTGCAGCTTGGCCAAATCATAACCATTCCAGTGGAAGTTTTCCATGCTGCTTTAGGCATATTTAGGTCTTTGTTGTTTATGGGCAAACCTGTTATCAGTGTCTCTATTTAGGGTTAGACAGTGCTTTCCATGTTGAGATCTGGTTCCAGTTGCTTGCAGCTTGGCCAAATCATAACCATTCCAGTGGAAGTATTCCATGCTGCTTTAGGCTTAATTGGTTTCTTTACAGAAACTTTCTCTCTCAGTGATTTCTGATAAGATCCAGTAATTTATTAGGATGAGAAACTAACATTGCTCTTTTGTATACATTAACAGTATCCCTAAAATAATTTTTTTAAAGACTAACTGTTCCTGATAGCAATGAGGATTATGCGTTTTCTTTTGTCATAATGCAGTCCAAATTTGGCCACATTGTAAGCTCTGGAAATCCATAGTTTATACAGTGCAAGTAGAGACTTGTGAGAGATGAGCTACTAAATTTACTGAATTTGCTTTTTATTGTCTTTGTTCAAGGCATTTTTCAACAGTGATTGCTCCTCACTGGATTGGTGCTGGCAAAAGAAATCTAGAACTGGGAGATTCTCTGCACTTCTCTTGAGGGCTGCCTTGTGTTGTCCATATAACGTGGAGTTGGAAACTGCTTAGACTGGAAAAAGCACCAAGAAGTAAAAATGGATCTCAGAGGGTGAGAGAGGGAGTAGTTCAGGTCCAAGAGATAACTCCTGGAAGATGGGGAAGGCATTATCAGTCTGGACATAAAACAAACGAGGGAGTATGATTATTTTGCAACAATCCTCCTTGACTCTGACAGTTGCAGAAGTTTTCTGTCCAAAAGGTATCCTGGTCTCCAAAAGGAAGAGCCTCTCTCCAGACTACGATCAAAGCAATGTCTACTTTCACCTCAAATTTTATTTTGGGCAGGATTGGTTCTGTACTGCTTTTAACTGCCTTATTGGAATCAAGGATACTGTGCTGTCTGGCTCAGCATTTTCTGCAGGCTTACAGCTTACTTTAAACAATTCAGAAAATACTTAAATAGTTGAAATATTTAATTCAAAAAAGGAAAAATATATAAATAAATCAGAGATTTCTAATTTTTTTATGTCTCTTTATGGGAAAGGAAAAAGCAGCTGGAGGTGGAGACAGATGGAAGCCCAGAGCATTTAAAATTAAGCTCATCCTCTTTTTGCAGCGTGGCATCTCACCTCAGTTCAGAAGCACAGCTACTACTTCATCAATATCCATGAAGCCCCATGGATAAGGTGCACTGTAATTTGCACTTGGTCTTGTTTAACCTTCAGGTGACTTCCATAACATAGTTATGTTAAACTTAAAATTTTCCTATCATTTTTGAGTACAGGCAAACTTCAGTTTAGAGACACAATGGCAGAAAAGGGATTTCTCTTTGAATTTTTACTTATTAGTTCAAGAAGTATTTCAGCCTGTCCATCCACTTGTGGAGTTGTTACGCAATGCCTTTAGTTTTGGTGGGGGGTTCTGAATATTTTAACACTTTTTGACATATGTTCACGGTCAATATTTATTGTAAGATCAACAGTCCAGTCTCTAATTTTGTTTTTTGGTGGGGTGGTTCGTAAGAGGTTTTCTTCTCATGGGGTTTTGAAAATGTGATCAAAGTACTCACAGCAGCTATGTTGCCTAAGGGAAAAAAAATCTCCAAAATACATCTGAAATATGTGAACTGAACAGGCCTCTCAATGGTGATGTTAACTCTGAAACAGAAGTATAACAAATGGTGATGATGATAGCTATTCTACCATTGACCTCTTTTTCAGAAATGCATGTTTATCTTGTGTTTGCAGCACAATAATAAGGAAAAAAAATACAGATTTTGTAATTCATCTTAAATATCAAGTCCTAACTCTCGGTATAGTGGGAATTTTCACCTGCAATTTGGATTTTGAAATTGAGTTTGCTGAAAGTTTATATAAAGCCAAATCCTTCTATTATTACATACCTTTCAAAAATCTGTCCTTTGTGAGCTGTTCAATGAATGCTTATAAAAGCTTTTTCTTGGGTTTTCTTGATAAATCCTTTATATATTGCTGCTTCTAAATATATTTAAATAACTTTAATGAGAAATCAGTTTAACACTGAGCATTAGCATGCAATCTATTGTTTCACACACTTGTCAAAGAACAGATTGTGAAACTGGTGTATGTGGGCTGTTGTAAGATAAACTGCTTATGGGCAAATTGGGCAACAAAATAGGGAACTAAGGCTTCATGACAAAGGACTTTCCTGTGGCTAATTACTTGTATAATTCACAGCTGGACTAGCAAAATGGTAAGTAATGATCTCTTCCCAGTAATTTCTGAAAGTATTTTGTTATTGGAAACGTCAGGAATTGATATCAAAATTGGGCATAGGGATGCCTGGGGAGAACAGTGGGAAGAGTGATGAGAATCTGTCATCTTCTGTCTGGAGTGCCTGGAGTTGTGGTCTCACCTTGCAAGATCAGTGTCTTGTATTGGGCTTTGCAACCTATTTTATTTTTGTGGGGTTTTTTTAGGGGGTGCAGGGGAGAAGAATCCATTTTCTGCCTTAGGTGACCTATTGATTAACTGGGGATAAAGCTGCCTACGTTTGCTAAGGAACTTTTTCAGCTGTTAATGTTCTATGTAAGAATTATAGAGGAGGGGAAGAGCATGCTGGAAGAATATATAAGATGGGCTGACTGAAAAAGATTGTTTAGATCTGTATTTCTAGGTCTAATCTTAAGTTATCTGTGTTTTTAAACAAACACACACACACTTAAGGCAGTCCTTGCAGATCAAAGCCCTCTGGTAGGGCAAAAGTGTCTTATTACTTCGGGGGTGATTTTAAAAGGAGGAAAAAAATTGAAATTGTTGATAAACAATTTAAAAATCATGTTTTTTTCCCAGACATAAGATGTAGAGTGGTGATATTTCTGTTCAGTTCCTTACACCCTTTATTCTGCACCACGCATTTCTTCTGCATCCTACATCCTTCTTCTGTTCCTACTTTTGATTCAAAGTGTGGTTCAGGAGGCTGATTTGTATGAATAAGGCAAAAACAAACGCAGTATTGCATCTGCACTAATAAATGGGAGAATGTTGGGCCAGCGATATTAATGAAAAGAAACATCCAACTGTCTTGTATTATCCCGTGTTCCCCTTCAAACTCCTGGGGCAGCCCTCCTGTTCTGCTTTTTATAGGCCCATCATGACAGGCTCTGCCAGAAGTGTTAGTTTGTCAACAAGACTGAGGGCTCTGCAATCAAAGGCAGCTTTCCAGCCAGCTGCTCTCTGAGATCTATATTCCCCCTGCCTGCGGTTTCCCTCAATTCAATTTGAGATTCATTTTCTCAAGATGTTTGGAGAAGTCTTAGCAAAAAATGTCAACCGAACCACTTCATAAGGGAATAACGGGTGAAAATGCCTAGCTCCTTCCTGGGGGGAAAAAAAAAAAAAATAAAAAAAGCATCTTTACTAATACCTGGGAGGAGTCTCATCCTTAATGTCAAGTCTTCTCAGCTGGACCAACAGGCTTGAGTACATCCCTTTTACCCCTCACTGAAGCAAAGTGTGTACATACAAGTGTTACGAATCACAAAGGGGTTTTATTAACAGTGTCATTAAAATCACAGCACATTCTTTGTAGTTCTAAACTTTTCTATATCGTCCAAGTCTTCGCAGGGTGGTTTCACTCTCTTTTCCTTGCCTTGTAAATTCTTTGTTACAGGAATTGTTCATTAATTCATTTAGGCAGACCGTGGCACCTACTCTCTACTATCAGCTGCTCTCTGGGCCAACATTAAAGATTATTTAAGAAGCAGGTTTTTTAGCCACATATTTTATAAAGTAGCACACTTCCAATCTTTGGCCCAAGCCCATGTCTATTTAATGATCCCAAGATGTGTCTGAAGAGCATCCTCCTCAATTCTGTGTCATTTTCATTGTCGGTGCTTTATTTTAAATTGCAGCCAGCTGTCAGGAGCCTGCGCTCCATGGGTTAAAGTGTATTTTTGATATTAGAACAGGCTTTCATTATGTTTTCCCTCTTTCCACCCTTCTCCCCCTCCCACAATTTTGAACTTTAAGCTTTCTAGTTAAGCTATTATGGTGGCCATAAACAGGTGCGTGCTCTACAGAGGGTCTCATTCTGTGGTTTCCACTGGCGTCCCTGGCCTTCTGAACTCCCCTTTGCTACCTCTTTCCCCCTCAATAATTTTTTATGAATGATAGCTTTTCAAGACCCTGGGAACAGCTTGTTGGGAAAAACACTCTTCATGGGGTGCAGTCAAATCCTACACATTTCTTCAAGGGGGTTTTATGAAAGGAATGGTACTGTGTTGCCGGTATGACGTATGCATGGACCCCCCCCCCCTCCCCACTTACTCCTCTACCCCCTGACTCTATGATTCACCGCCATAAATTTGCTCTTTAATAATGCCAACAGACCCTCTCACCACAGGTGCTTCTCAATTAAAATCCACTTTGTTTAAAAACTGGAGACTTGTTTAACTGAGCCCCTGGTGGGAGTTGTCAGATCCCAGGATAGGTGACAAAAAAATAGATTGGTGGCCCTCTGGAGCTGCATTGAAAATCCCATCTCCCGGGGTACCAGAGGGCAGCATCGCTCTTAAAACAAATCTGCAAGTTTGAGAAGCCCTGGGTGGAAGCCCTGGGAGTTGTCGTTTTCAGCGTGGGGCTTTTTTTAATCCATCTTTTAGCATTTGGTTTTGTTCCTGCTACCCTTCTCACACCCTCCGCCCTCAAGTACTTCCCCCTTTTTTCTACTATTGATTTGGCTGTTTAGAAAATATAAAAGTAAAGGCATATTATTTTTTCCCAAGAACAGTCTCTTTTTGTTTAGTGTTCTAATGATATTTGCAAGGAATAAATGGGAATAGCAAAGTTGGGTGGGAGGAAGACCTTTTATGTATTAAAAAAAAAAAAAAGCTTAAAATGTTAGAATTGGGATTTATTTTTTTTTTTCCATTATTGTCTTTTTAAACAGAAAGGAAAACTTACTTTTGGGCGATCTGATCTTTTCCCTGCCCTCTTAGATGTGTATTTTTAGCATTTTGAAACACATGTGATGTCCTCAGATATTGCTTACCAAAGCGCTTTGGAATAACTATAGAGGGTGGATGGGATGACTCAGGGGCCTGGTAATTGAATATGGAGCCTTTTCACCTCGAAGTCACTAGTTTGAATCTAACCCAAGTTGCTAGCAACCTAGTGGTTACCCTCAGATGGCTGTTTAGTGGCCTGTCTGAAGTGAGTTGGTGGTCTCAGTCCAGCTTTTCACAAACAGCTGGCCACATCACAGAAACCACCGTCACAGTTAGTACTAATTAGCAGCCTCGTTGGCAGGACAGCGAAGTGAGGCGAAGGACTGAATTAGCCATTGAGCTGTCTTCTGCTGTTCGAGGTGGTCTCTCCGAAACGGGGCCAAGGCCCCCTGCTCTTGGAGCCTCACAGCAGCAGCAGCAGCTGGGTTTTGACACTGGATTGTTGGGTGCGTGTGGATTTTCTCCCTCTGAGGAAACTACAACGTTCTGTACTCGCCCAATATGGGACTCTTTAGCCTGGAGAAGAGAAGGTTGAGGGGAGACCTTATCAATGCTGACAAGGATCTCAAGGGTGGGTTGAAGGAGGAGGGAGCCAGCCTCTTCAGTGGTTCCCAGTGAGAGGACGAGGGGCAACGGGCACAAGTTGGAACATAAGAGGTTCCACTCAAATATGAGGAAGAACTTTTTCACGGTGAGGGTGACAGAGCCCTGGAAGAGGCTGCCCAGGGAGGGTGTGGAGTCCCCTTCTCTGGAGATTTTCAAGCCCCACCTGGATGCTCCTGAGTGACATGCTCTGACAAGCTCTAGGCAATCCTGCTTCAGCAGGGGAGTTGGACTAGATGATCTCTATGGTCCCTTCCAACTCTAAAAATTCAGTGAAATTCAGTGAAATACCAAGCTGTGAGCCATGTCCCCAGTTTGATTGGGTTTTGCTTTGCCCTCTGCCGTTCATCAGTTCCTGGGGTAGGGGGAAACTCCAGACATGGCACTTGGACTTTCCCACGCACCCTTGATCGGTCAGATTATTCCCTAATACCTCTGCCAGACATGGCACTTGGACTTTCCCACGCACCATTTATCGGTCAGATTATTTCCCTAATACCTCTGTTAGATCTACCATAAATAAGTCCATCTGTTTCATAATGGCAGCGGCACTGATGGGCTATTACAAAAGTTTCCATTACTGCCCCCATCATTTTGCAATCCTCTTCCGAAGTGGTTTATCCATTTTATCTCTGCAAAAAGTTGTCTTCTTTTCCGAAGCTCCATCCAAATGTAGTCATTCGGAAAGTGTAAGAATAAAATAGATAAATCTGACCTTTTAAAATACCTTGTACCTAAATAAATAAATAGAAAATCTTGCCATCAGTACCTTGTATTTTGTGGGGTTTAGAGTATATCCCTCATGTGTACTCTGAATGCTGCATTAATGGATTCCAAAGCCCACAGAGGATCCCTCTGCTGGTAGCAAGATTTTGGGTCAATGCATATGTCTATCCTTGGTAATCCAATTGCAAGATCATCAAAATTTTCACTTGTTAAAAAAGTAAACATGTTTTACAACATTTTAAGCTGTAGGCAATTCTTTCTGAAAATGGAGAATTCAGTATGTGTACTCTGAATTCCATTCAGGGGAACAACAGTAACACAATTCTAATTAAAATACAGTGTTTTTCCTCCCAAGCGCTAAACTAAGGAACCCTTTTCTGATATATTTTTTTTTTCCTTGACTTAATGTCAAAAGTAGTTTCTGCAAAAATAAATTCTCCCTCAAAATATTGGCAGCCCAAATAGAAAAGCCAAAATTGAAGGTAATAATAGTGACCTTAGAAGTTTTTCTTTTCTAGCTTGAGAGAAATTACTGAAGTGAAGAGTGCAACTAGAAACAATGTGGATTTTTACGCTTTTGATTCCTGATGTTGGTAAAAAGGTGAGGAAGAATCTTAGGAGATTTACATATTGCCTTTTGAA